GAAAAATGTTGGACGGAAGTGAAAAAGATTTAGAAATTTGGTCAAATTTGAAACTCTCGTTGCTGGGCCGTATTGCTGTGATAAAGATGAATGTATTGCCTAGAATGTTGTTTTTGTTTCAGGCATTACAAATTGTAGATAAGATGGACTGTTTCAAGAAGTGGCAGAGAGATATTTCTAGATTTGTCTGGCAGGGCAAGAAGCCCAGAATAAAATTCAAGATATTAACTGATGCCAAGGAAAGAGGTGGATTTGCCCTGCCAGACCTTAAACTTTATTATGAATCAGCAGCTTTTTGCTGGCTGAAAGAATGGCTACTTCTTGAAAACACAGACATTTTGGATCTAGAAGGTTTTAACAATGTATTTGGATGGCATGCATATTTATGGTATGATAAGGTCAAAGCACACAAAGCATTCAAAAACCATATTGTTAGGAAAGCATTGTTTAATGTTTGGACAAGATACAAAGACTTATTGGAAAATAAAACCCCAAGGTGGCTATCACCAATGGAAGCAAAAGCTCTGAAAAGGCTCAATATGGAGGCCAAATGGCCGACATATTGGGAAATTTTGGAGCAAGAAGGAGATAAATTGAGATTGCAGAGTTTTGAAAAATTAAAAATAAAGTGAGAGATTGGCTCCACTACTATCAGATAATGGAGGCATATAATTTGGATAAGAAAATAGGCTTCCAAGTGGAAAAGTCAAAATTAGAAACAGAATTGTTAGAACCCAAAACTAAAAATTTGTCAAGAATGTATAACTTGCTGTTGAAATGGAATACTCAGGATGAAACGGTGAAATCTGCTATGATTAAATGGGCACAAGATGTTGGACACAACATTATGTTCGCTGACTGGGAACAGTTATGGACCACAGGTATGAAGTTTACGGCATGTAATGCCTTAAGAGAGAATATTATGAAAATGATATACAGGTGGTACATGACCCCAGTCAAGCTTGCAAAAATTTATCATTTGCCCGATAATAAATGTTGGAAATGTAAAGAAACTGAAGGTACATTCTTTCACCTTTGGTGGACGTGCCCAAAGATTAAGGCTTTCTGGGAAATGATATATAATGAACTGAAAAAGGTATTTAAATATACCTTTCTGAAGAAACCAGAGGCCTTTCTCTTGGGCATTGTCGGCCAACTGGTGCCAAAGAAGGACAGAACCTTTTTCATGTATGCTACAACAGCAGCAAGAATACTTATCGCAAAGTATTGGAAGACACAAGATCTACCCACTTTGGAAGAATGGCAGATGAAGGTGATTGACTACATGGAATTGGCGGAAATGACTGGCAGAATCCGAGACCAGGGAGAAGAGTCGGTGAAAGAAGACTGGAAAAAATTTAAGGACTATTTACAGAAATATTGCAAAATTAAGGAACTTTAGAAGGATGTTGGATAGAAACTAAGAGGTTTTTAGCTGTAATGCTTTAAGAGACATGGAAAAAAAGGTTAACAATTGGGTAAAAGATTAATGGTAAGGATTTGCTGAACCAACAAATTGAATTGGAATACAAAGAAGGGAGGTATGAGGAGGTCCGGGGAAATAAGAGTAAGGAAGATAGGTTATGGAACATTATTGTGTTTTCAACTGTTTTATTTTGTATGTTTTTTCTTATTTTCTACTTTTTTGCTGTATTTTAAAACTATATACTTTTTTCTTTGTTTTGTATTTTCATGTATTTTTGTGAAACTTTAATAAATATCATTATAAAAAAAAAAAGAATATAGTTGGTCAAGGGAGCCAGGGACTCAAAAAGGTTGAAAACCTCTGAGCTAGAACATCTAATATGGTGTCCTAACACTGCCCTGACACCAGGGATGAGTAACCTATGGCCTTCCAGATGTTGTTGGACTACAAATTCCATAATCCCTGACCACTGGCTATGTCAGCTGGGACTGATGTGAACTGGAGGCCAACAACATTTGGGGAGCCAGAGGTTCTTCAACCCCTGCCTTGCTACTTGTTACCTGATTTCCCTAGATGTTTCAGTGCAGTTCCTTACATCCATTTAGGTAGAGAGAAGCTGAGTTTGTCCATGGTTTACACTGCGCTCTCTCTCTCTCTCTCTCTCTCTCTCTCTCTCTCTCTCTCTCCCTCCATTCCTTTATGCTGAACAACTGTAATTATTGTTCATTCTGAAGCTGACAAAGGACAACTGCGATGTCATATAATCAAGAGACTCTTTTCAGTGGGTGTTTCATTATGATCACTGTTTAGATAATTTTGTGGGCTTTTCTAACTGCACGTAAAATGATTAAGCTTTGTTTGCATAACTTGCCAGCAAAAAGTGTATTGGGAGACACATAGACAGCAGATGATAATTTAATGCAGGGCTTGTCGTTTAGCAGCAAGTGTGTAGCCCTGTTCATATATTACTCTTACGTAGGGATGAGGAGAAACACACTGGCGCATGTATTAATGAAAATTTACAAAAGTTCATATTTCTCAAACCAATTTGTAAACTGAAGAGCTACTGTATTTTGAAATTTTAGCTTCTTTGAATTTTGCAATGTAGCTCTCTAGCCATAGAATGCATACAAGAGTACATATGTTAGTGAAGCAAGCATATGTGGACACAAATTTGTATAGTGATGAAAATAACATGCAAAAATGCATTTAATTATGTGAAATTGCTTGCCAATATGTGTGTATTGGGCAAAAATGCATACAGAAAGCGTATAACAGGAGAAATGCATGCAGGAAGGCATACAAATATTTATGCTGGATTTTATCTATTTTTAAATGCAAATGTATGTGGAAATGCGCAAACAAAACTTAAGATTCGGGGAAATGAGGGCAGAAGAGAAACAGATTCACCTCTCTCTCCTAACATGTAGGACATAGTTGTGTTTACCTTGGAGCGAGGCTGCGTTTTTAGACCTACCCTGACATAATGCTTTTGAATTATGGTGCTGGAGGAGACTCTTGAGAGTCCCATGGACTGCAATAAGATCAGACCTATCCATTTTTAAGCAAATCAGCCCTGAGTGCTCACTGGAAGGACAGATCATGAAGCTGAGACTCCAATACTTTGGCCACCTCATGAGAAGAGAAGACTCCCTGGAAAAGACCCTGATGTTGGGAAAGATGGAGGGCACAAGGAGAAGGGGACGACAGAGGAAGAAATGGTTGGACAGTGTTCTTGAAGCTACCAGCATGAGTTTGAGCAAACTGCGGGAGGCAGTGGAAGACAGAAGTGCCTGGCGTGCTTTCATTCATGGGGTCACGAAGAGTCGGACATGACTAAACGACTAAACAACAAGAAAACATCTGGAAGGTCAAAGGTTCTCCTGCTTTAGGCAACTGGTTTAGTTTATTACCGAAATGTTTCTCCTAATGTTCATTCAAAATCTATTCTCCTGTAGCTTAAGCCCATGAGCTATAGTCTTGCCCTCAGGAATAGCAAAGAAGAAGTCTCCCTCTGGTCAATATTTTATGACATTAGTATTAACTTGTGGAACTTTCAAACTCATATATTTTGGGCCTGAAAGCCAATTGAAACATTCGGAGGGGAAAGCACATAGTACATTGCTCCTGGGACTTCACCACTTCAGGCAAGGGTGTTTCATTTTAAAATGTTCCATCACTCAGCAATAAAAAGTAGCACAACAGGATAACTCTAGGCTAGTAACCCACGCCCAATCATTTTCTGGTGCACAGAAGTATTCTAAAATGTGATCACCTTACCTGCACTCTGAAATGGTACAGTCCCAGGAGGACTATCTTAAACGTTTGAATCAGCTCACAGAACACAAATTTACTCACTTGAAGGATGTGTAAACTAGCACTATTTGCTTTCTGTCTCAACTTTCATTTTTGTTTTAAATACAGACTCCAAGCTATTTAAATGATGTATCACTATAAAGGTAAGGTAAAAATGTAAAGGACCCCTGGATGGTTAAGTCCAGTCAAAGGCAACTATTATTTTGGCTAACTCGGTTTTCTAAAAGGAAACAAAAGTTGTCCAATTAGTTCAAATCACCAGGTTAAATCAACAAGGGCTTCCAAGTCTACCCTCCACCCCGAACTGGCTATACACCTCCTAGAACTTACAAAAAGAAAGCAAAAATATAAAATAAAATAGAAGGGAGATAAACCAAACATTGCTGGAGTGGAGACAGCTAAAGAAGCAGCACCAGTAATTTAATGGGGAGGGGAAAGGTTAGAAAAAGAATCAAATCAATGTATACTTCTTATGGATTTACACCGATGACTCCAGCTAAGCTGCTTAAATCCAATTGATTTATTCAGCCATGTTGTGCACCTGTAGGTGCAGTAGTGATGTATGGAAGTAAGAGCTGGACCATAAAGAAGGCTGATCGCTGAAGAGTTGATGCTTTTGAATTATGGTGCTGGAGGAGACTCTTGAGAGTCCCATGGACTGCAATAAGATCCAACCTCTCCATTCTGAAGGAAATCAGACCTGAGTGCTCACTGGAAGGACAGATCCTGAAGCTGAGGCTCCAATACTTTGGCCACCTCATGAGAAGAGAAGACTCCCTGAAAAAGACCCTGACGTTGGGGAAGACAAGGAGAAGGGGACGACAGAGGACGAGATGGTTGGACAGTGTTCTCAAAGCTACTGGCGGGCTCTGGTCCATGGGGCCACAAAGAGTCGGACACGACTAGATGACTAAACAAGAACAAGGTGCAGTTTTAGAGTTCATCTGTGACAAGCGGCTTGTCACACCTAGGGATGGGTGAGGAGTCATATCTGCTGCAGCCTTTTGCAGTGTCCCACATGACCACAGCCTAAGCAGGATATACAATTGCATAGGCTTTCAGAAGTGATCCTGAATTTGCATTCGTGAAGATGGCAGTGCAATGCCCTTTCCTTCTCTCTAGGCATCCCCTGCAACCAGTGATGCTAGCTCAGAACAGATGCAAATGACCTATTTGCCAGCCTACTTGTGCAAAAGCCCTGCTCACATTTCATACATGACAAATGCAATGTAGGAGAAATATAATGATGGATGAACATACCAGTAGCTGGTATAGTGTAGCAGAGAAGAGACTGAGCTATGAATCAAGGAGCCGCTGGTCCGAATCTTGCTGCAGCTGCGAACTCAGTAGGGGGCTTTAGGGGAGTCCACTGTGATTTCATAACCAGGTGCTATAGGGAAATAATAGCAGTGACCTGTGTTAGACGTTTGGTCTAAGGACCACAACACAATAATGTGAAATGTCTAAAATGCATTATAAATGCTAGAGATTGCCATGATTTAAGTCCCAGGAGCTGTCTTCATGAGCAGAGCAGGTGGGCAAGGATGTAGATGCTGCTACATTTTCAAGTAGCCCGATTCCTGAGTAAAAATGGATTTTCAACCTTGCGAATTAACTCCTAATCCTATTTAAGGATGCCTGCCTAAGGATTCTAATGGAACTTAAACTTCCCACCTAAACAGTATTACAATTCCAGCTTTATAGCCCAAGCAGATAAACTACAGCACTGGCCAACCAACAATTTGGATGGGTTGCAATAATATTCACATTCCTGCAATCTTGACGGTTTATGAAACTTGTCTCTTTGTTCCCAAGGATATTTCAAGCATTCTGTCACCCCATCTTTAACCCTAATCATTGCTGGAGGTGCATGGAGTGAAGATATCTAACAATATTCTCAAACCTGTTGTCCGGGACACTTATTTACAACAATGAATGAATAAACAATTTTTAGACTGTGAGCAAAAAAGTCACAGGTACTCAAAACACCAGCTTTACAATACTTCTATTATTTTTGTGAATGCATTTTCTTAAGGGATATTCCTATTCCACTATAGAATAATTTTCCCAATTATGCACAATATCAGTTATTTCATTAATATTGTCCTGCCTGTGCATTAATAACTACTAATTGTAGATTACTATTCTATCGGTTGTAGACAATTACTTCCTACTCAGAACAGACTCACTGAAGTTAATGAACATTAACTTTTAACATTAACCTCAGGCTCCATAATTTCAGCAAGTCTACTCTTAGTAGGATTAGTATTGGAGACAAACCTATCTTTCTACACTATTCTTCTGCTGCTGGATTGACATTTTCACTTTTCTTCAAAAAGCCCTTTTCCAAGAAATTACTAACGAATGTCCCACGTTTCATTTTCACTGGCCGTTTCTCAGATCATCCAGCCTGTGGCATGGGCATCTCCTGTTGCTGCTTTAATAACATTTTAAAAATCACCCCTTGTATAATTTAGTTGGTATACATGGGATTTTATTGATTTTTTGGAAATATTTTGAAAATAAATCATGTCCCATCAAAATTGTTTAAAACCTAGGATCCTTAAAGAGGCACCTGAAATTCTATTTTTTTTATTTTTTAAAAAAATAATAATATTGCAGGTATGTAACATTATTGCAAACATATATTTCTTCATTTAAATGTGCTTTCAAGAAATCGATATACCTCCCACCCTCCAAAACAGCCCTAGCAGCCTGCAGGGGCTTACTCACTTGATGCTTTCTCTGTGTTAACTAGTATGTTTGTTGAGATTGCTAGATCTGTCAGGCAGATATATCTCCATTGGGTAACAGGTACATAGGGCTGGGAGTTCTTGCACTGCCTGCAATGTGTGGTGCATAGCGATCAAAATACCATTAGGTTTTAAAAGAAGACCACTGTTTGTTTTCAGACATGGCAAGATTTTTCTTTCAAAGAGAGGGTGTGTGAGAGAGAAACAATTAAGGAGATGATCTTGCATTTTCTTCCTGATGGTGTTCTATGGCATAAATCTGCCACATATATGCAAATGATAGTGTTCATGGTAGCTCTTTTCCCCAAACTAAAATGGCTAACATATAAAGCAACAAACATAAAGAACCTAGGCAACAGACGACTGTGAGGATGCTAAATCTTTTTTATACTTAGCACAGATTTTTACCATGATATGATCTCCCCTATGAGAATGGGTTCTACTTTTAGCTTTGCTCTGTATTTTGTCAACCAAGAAACATTATTATGGAAGTATTGATATTCCATGTTACTCTACGTTCACACAGTGAGAATATCATTCTTTCTCTTCCAACAGTGACGTATTGCTGTCAATAGCCCAGCAAGGTAATATTTTGTAATATTTGCATCAGCTAAACTACCTTACCTACCTTTCCACCCTGAATGGCATGACAATCCTAATGTTGCACAGACAGAAATAGTGCAATATACCTACCACTGAGTCAATGATTCTGCTGGTTCACTCCTGTGAAGACTGGTACTTTTCCCTAAACCAGCTGTGAGCTGGTGCAGTTGAAGGAACCAGGGATCAGTCTCTTTGGGAGATTCATGGAAATTTATATCCATTGTATGCTTGATGCAGCACCCTGTGCCCCTAAAGTATCCATCTTATCTATCTCGGGTAGCAAAATGACTTGGGCTGCCCCACTCACAAATATCTTTTTTTTAAAAGCTTTTGTCATATATTTTATTTCAGATGTACAGTGCTACCTCGGGTTACAGATGCTTCAGGTTACAGACTCCCCTAACCCAGAAATAGTGCTTCCGGTTAAGAAGTTTGCTTCAGGATGAGAACAGAAATTGTGTGGCAGTGGTGCGGCGGCAGCAGGAGGCCCCATTACCTAAAGTGGTACCTCAGGTTAAGGACAGTTTCAGGTTAAGAACGGACCTCCAGAACGAATTAAGTTCTTAACCCGAGGTACCACTGTACTGATGGTTGCTTTTTTATATATAATAGTTTTTATTTGGTTTTACATATTACAATTTATATTCAAAGTTATAAGTACTGTAATAAGAAGGCAAATAAACAAAGATTCACCCAAATCTCTGGACTTCTCCCCACCCTTCTGTGGGTTCCAGCACTAGTCCCTTTCCGTTGCATATTTTACTCCATTTTTTAAAAGTATCCCATATATCCAAAGTTCTTGTTACACTACAAGTGTTATTCAAATCCTGCTAAAGAGCTCAAATGTTTACAGTGGTCTCCAAAGTAAATTATGAATTCCCCCTATTCTTTGTTGAAATTCTGGTCTTCCTGGTTTCTGTTTCTCCCCGTCATTTTTGCCATCTCTGCATAGTCCATCAGTTTGGTCTGCCATTCCTCTATTGTGGGGCTAACTTTAATGAGACAATTCCTTCCCCTAAGCTTACAAGAAAATAAATCACACAAAAGGAAAAGGAGCAGGAAGGTAAGAGGAGAAACAAAGGCACAACGTGTCAGGATTACAGATGTACCTCTCACACCAAGAACACGGCAAGCTGGCGGTTTAATTGCACTTAGATTGATTAGTATTTACACAGTAGTTTCAGTCCAAGCTCACAGCTCAATCATCTGCCAAAGATGACATTGAGCTCACTCAAAAGTGGGTCCTCCTCCAACAGGATATCCTCCATCGGCTGCCCTTCCTCCTGTTGGACTAAAGCCAAGCCTGGACCCTACTCCTTTGCCGTGTCCATGGGGACAGTTTGCCCATCTCCCTCTGGAGACATCTCCACCCCCCTCAGAGCGATGTCTAAAGGCTGCAATTCCTCTGAACTTGCCTCTGTCTGACCCATGCTACCTCGGGAATTTACAGCCTGCATTCCAGGACAGGAGGGGCTTGCACCACCCTCAGCATGGGAAGAAGGCAAGCCCCTGTTTTCCCCAGCCTGCCATCCCTCCCCTTTGGGGTCCTCGCTGTTGCTCTGGGAAGGGACGTTCCTGACACAACGTTACCAAGAGTTGACAAATCCAGTTGAAAATGAAGCAAATTCATTCTGGAGTAGGGTTGCCCATTCTCTGAATGGACCAATCCCACTCTGCCACCCTGGGCTCCTTCTGGAAGAAGTGCATGCTATAAGTTGAATAAATAGACAAATAAATAGATAGATCGATTTTCCATTCGCTTTTGGAGCAATACCCAAAGTCACCATGTGCTTCGGCAAAAGAAGAAGAAGAAAGGGACTTCCCTTTTGACTCTGTCCTAATTCAAACCACTTCACAATCATTAACTCAGGTATCCTTACAAAGTCTGTGTTCTGCAGACCAACTTTATTAACCCTATGGCTAAGAAAGACTGTGGCTTGTCTAATGCCATTTAAAAGGTGAGCTGTGAATCAGAGACTTCCTGTCATGGAATTCATCCTCTTACTTGCCATACTGTGCTAGCTCTCAATATGTAGGTTAGTTGATATTTAAAAGCAATTGCTTTTAAAGACGAGGATTAGTGAAGCTAGACTACAGGGAACTTTTTTTTTCTCTTTTTTTGAGGATTCAAATTGCATGCATTTTGCATTTTGCATTACTGAAATCCCCTATGTATTCTATAGTGTTACCAATTTAAAATGAAATAGGTGACATTCAAAGAGCTGCCGCAAACTGCAAGCAGCAGAAAATCAATGAAGGTCAATGGAAGAAAATGGAGGGTGAGGGACCTTTAAATAAGGGCTGAATTATGCATGTGTAGCAATCATAATCTTTTTAGGTCTTGGGTAAGATTAGCAGTGGGGTTTAGAATGGGAAATCTTGCACATTTGTGTGTGTGTGTGTGTGTGTGTGTGTGTGTACAGAACTAATTCTACTCCTGGTTAACAACAACATGTAAGCAGAATGCAGGACTGCACTGAGAATGTCCTCCTGGTGGTATCAGATACAACTACCTGAATATTTACATCCTACCCATTAAATAACTAATTACATCAGCCAGTCATAAAGATGGGCATCTTGCTAACCAATTCATAAATAATAAATCACAGCAGTACTGTTGGTCACTCAGGTCCACATGCCAACAAATATCTGAGTCAGTGAATCAGCAAGGGAGGCAGGATTTCAGAGCCAACTTCTGTAACTAGCTGCCCTGACTGAGGATATGCAAGTCCGCCCCACTTCACTGTGGGGAGGAGTTGCGGTGGACCGCGTGGCCACCCACTCTCCTCTGGGGATGGGGGATGTAGTCCCACGTTACCCAGGGGATCCTGGCTTTGCCAGCGACCAGCCAGCCAATCTGCTGGCTGGTGGGGGCGTGGCCAGGACCATTTAATTGGGGGTACAAGCTTCCTCTTGGCTCGCTTCCTCATTCTCCCTCCCTCCCTCCCTTTTTGCAGGTTTTCTACACTGGCCTTGCTATAGACCTCGGTTGGTCACCATTGAGGGGCCTGGTAGGAATTTTTCCACTTGGCAAATTGGTATGGGCCATTTGGTTCTCACCTACTTCATAGCAATCATCACAACTTTGTAAGGTTTTGCGGTTAGGCATTGTTTGACCTTTTGATGGGGGAGGGGAGGTGTGGCCATCACCTGCCTCTCTAAGCTTAAGGGTATTCCATTAAAGGAATCTGCGGGTGTGGATCTTGTCCAAAGTCTGGGCGGGGCTAGGGCCATGACATGACTCCATCGGGAAAACCTGGGGGAGCTCGAGTTGGTCTGCATCGACCGGGCTCCCCCTTCTGGTGGTTTACCCTTACCGGACTCCCTGTGCAACGGACAAGAGTTGGATATAGTCTGGTCCATTCAATGCCTAAGCCAATTACCGCTCAAATTCTGTAATCAATAAAGTTGTGGCCAAAATTTGCCCAATAACATTAACCTAATATCTGTGTCCTGATGTGCTTTCTTCTTCAACGAGGGGATGGTTGCGGGGTCTAGACATGCAACAATTCAGAGAGGTGTTCGTAACAGGCAGAAATGTGTGATTGCCTCTCTGAGATCACCTGATTCCCACATCTGGGGATTCTGGGCTGCATTGCTGGCATCCTGACTTCCAGCCACCAGCATCAATGGCAACAAAGGGAAGACGGAATCAACATGTGACCTGCATGACCTCAGAGGTCAAACCCTGATGACATCTGCCTAATACATGCCAAGTTTATAATCCATGACTTTCAAAGTAATATTATTAAAAAGACAAAACAAAAAACTAAGAAGACCTTCAAGGTTCAGCTTCATCGCATAAATGAGATGGTTTTGTTTAGGCATTAACGGGCACATATCTCTGTTCTTTTAATGTGCATTATACCACATCTCACAAAAAGAAACCATAATGAATGAAATAAAAATTCTGCTCGAGAAGCAATGGCATCACAGTGTGGGCAGCAATTTCCTGGCCACAGAGTGGAAAGATGGCACGGACAATAGGCAATGGTTCTTTTGAGGAAGAAATGGAAGTTACAATTTGCCAGATGCCCAAATTATTCACCGGTACTTCGGCACATCTCCTGATAAAAATTATGGTGGTTCAGCAGTGGATAGCAGCATTTGTCAAATCCATAACTAAACTCCCCCCCTCCCCATTTACATTAGTAAAGTTATGAAGCTGAAATCTGGCAGCCGGTTGCACTAATCTATTTATTAAGGGAAAGAGTTGTGAAGCATGGCGTGCTATTTTATATCTACCTTAACGGTAAGCAGATGTGTATATTCAAGAATACATTTTAAGCACCATTAATACCCACACAGAAAGGTTCTGCAGTCATCTTTCAAAACAGCAAGTTTTATAGATGTGCCCTACCCAGACAACCTTTTGCAAACTCTGAGTGCTCATCTGTCTTGGAGAAACGGCTCAGCGTTTTCATTCATCATTCGAATGAGGTATAGTAAGAGTTCCAGTTCTCCCTCTTGCACACCCTATGGTGGAACTGGCATATTTTCACAGACTGTCCTCCATTAACAGCAATGATGTTTTATGGTTCATTCTAGCTCTGTGCATGGGCCGTTGCTCGTTAGTTCATAGAGAAACTAATGAAGAGCAAAGATCCTCGGGATAGATAGACGGCTGTGGGAAGCAGTTGCGGGCTTCGTATTGTAGTCCCTGCTGTGCCTTTTGAAAATCTTCTGAATTGAAAAGGAAAAGGGGGAAAGGGGTGGAATTCCAAAGCCATTGACAGGAACAATTTCACTGAAATATGTTTAAGACAAATTGGACCTTACAGGCTTACACATACTGTAAGTTCACAGCCTTAAGAGCAAAGTGATGAACAGTTCACAGGTGGAAGAGCCTCCATCTATTTTTTTCATACCAACAGCTGAAGCAGCTTGCCCAAGAGATGAAGGGGGCATTTGTCCTTGGCATCGGTGATGCAGGAGGACACTAAGCAGAAAGCTGCAAGACACAGCAGCCTGTCTGTTCCAGCTCCGGCCGGGACACTGAGCTCATTATTTCAAAAAGACACAGCAAACAGCTAACAGGTTTTCAGTTACTTAACTGCCAGCTGGAAGCAGCATCCTTCGCCCTTCCCTGTGCTTGGCAAAAAAATGCCAGGACAGACCAAGAGAGGTGGTGAAGTTATGCAGCAGCAGCAAGGGCCTCAAATGTGAGAGGAAGATGAGCAGATGAACAGGTCAAGGGGAGGAGACCAGTATATCTAGGGCTAAGGAAGAAGGGGAGAAGGCAAGGAGAGAGGGAGACATAAATGGTCCTAGCCTGGGAGAGGAAAAGCAGGACCTGTGTCTTTCAGGGCCATGTTCCTGTGGGAGCCAGCTGACTCACACAAGAGCACAGCCCCCCAAAATGTGTGTCTTTGGAGGCCACAATCTCATGGGAGTGAAAATGGGACATCCTGGGATCCAGTAAGAAGCTGGCACAGCTTCTGTAATTTTAGGATATCCTGCTTAAAGTGGAACGGTTGAGAGGTACAGTGGTACCTCTGGTTACGAACTTAATTCGTTCCAGAGGTCCCTTCTTAACCTGAAACCGTTCTTAACCTGAGGTACCACTTTAGTTAATGGGGTCTCCTGCTCACTGGCGGAGGAAGAGGAGTGCCGGGGGAGCACACGGTCCCCGGCAGCGCGATCCTGGTGGGGTGCCATCGTGGCTGCCCCGGGCGTCACGCCCCTGCAGGCAGCATGCCATGCCCCCAGGACGCATGCCCCGCCCCTGTGGGCAGCGCACCAACCCCCTGGGACATGCGCCAGCCCCGCCCTTGCCTGCTCTCCACGCTCCAGTGCTGGAGCATGAAGCTCTGGCAGTGCTCCTGCCACCGCTGTACCGCTGGCATGCAATTTCTCATCCTGAGGTAAAGTTGTTAACCCAAGGTACTACTTCCAGCTTAGCAGAGTCTGTAACCCGAGGTGTTTGTAACCCGAGGTACCACTATATACCTTCCCACAGCAGACAAATGTTGACAACACACTGTTGACTCTGGCTTTTAACACACAAGATGGATATTTTTAGAACCCACATTTTATTTTGGTAGTTTTAAGTTGTCTCAAACTGTTTTTAATATTGTGTTTTAATATTAAAGTTGTGTCTCAGTTGTGGTAAGCCTCCCTCCGCCCCCCCCCGGACTCTAGGGTGAGGGGCTCGTAATAAATTGAAAGGCTGCTAGTAATATTAATATTTGTTCATTTGATTCCACCATGCAATTAGAATCCCATGAGGGACAACAGGGATGTGCTTGCAAGTTCTGACCTCTCCATCGCCTCCCCATTGCTCAGCTCCACCAACCTTCATACAGCAGAGGATTTACAGAATCAAGGTTCTATATCATCTCAGGAACCCATGTGAGTTGAGCATCTTCCCTCTGTAGATGTCCACTCTGCAGAGCATGAAGGGTGGTGGAGCCCGGCGACAGGCATGTGACAGAGGGAACAAGGCTAGGAAGCACATCCCTGCTCTTCCTCGTGCAGTTCAGTCATGTGGGATAACTGATTGCCTTAATAGGGCTCCAGTAACTTTGTAGGGTCACCAGCTTTTGATTTCAGCAATTCTGGTACCTGGGCAAGGCCACTGAATGAGACTGCAGGTAGGGAATAACAAAAGCTTTTTCACTCTGTGGTTGGTGATGGCAGATAGTGGGAGACAAATCTGTGGCTGGGCTCCAAACCATGTTGAAGGACATTTGCAGGGAAATAAGGACAAAAGCAACCCTCACTGGTGCTACTGGCAACTGGATGTGCTACTCTGCCACCGGCCTTCCCTCTTCCAAAATCTGGGGGTGGGGGGGGTGTAGCTGTGGTAGAAGCTTGGCAATGCTTCTGTGTGCAAAATGATGCACATGAGGTTCAGCTCAACAGCTTGGCTGTTTAGTGAACTGTCTAATCTACCATGTACATTATTGAAGTGAAAATGAATCTGCTTACTTTTATTTTTATTGTAAACACATCCAGCTTAAAATAAAATTAAAATTAGGGCAAAAAGCCTCAAAGTCTAACTTTTATGCAGAAAAAAAAAAACCCCTGGCAATCAGCCCAGAGGTAAATTCTGTATCCCCCTCCCTTTCCCCCCCTGGTCACTTGGCGAAGTAATATTTGTGGATAAACAGGTTCTCAGGCCACTGGATTTCTGGAAATAATTCAGAAAAGAATTCATTTCCCAGGATCTGTCCAGTTTCATTAAATGGCTTCAGGCTTAGAGAACGCAGATCATGATAAGCCTTTAGCATCACTCCTGGTAAAGTGATCTGCTTTATTGTAGCAAAATTATGATAATCTAGAGCAACACTCCACGGTGTATGCATACAAAGCAAAAAATTATCCCTGGTGCTTTACTTTGCAATAAGGCCTTTGGGACAGGTGCTAAGCCTCATCATGGAAGCACTCTGTAACTGTGCAAAGGGTGGTTAAGTTTTCTGAGACTTGAGGATGTTATTGTACAGCTGTTTCTGGGTGGGAGATTGCCTGCATGCCACTTTGTATTCTTTGATGAAAGGAAGGTGGGATAAAAATGTACTAAATAAATAAATATGGTGCATGTGAATTATTTCCTCTTTCACCAGGGATTCTGGTCCAACTGGTTCTGTGGGCTTTGATACCACTTCAGCCAGTTCTACCTTCAAATGTCTGAGAGTTCTGCAGAAATGGGGGAAAAAAATAAGCACACACAATTCTGATGGAATTTCATTCTTTGATGTTTGACTGCATCATGAAATGTAAGTAAGACACATAATCAGCTTAAAATCAGCCTACCTATGGTTATATTTCCCTCTACCCTTACCCACTGAAATTGGGGTGGCGTCATCCATTTCCCTCCTTTGCAAAACTCCTTCCAAAATAAAAGAATGAGTCTAGGCTTTGAAGACTGGGAACATTTTGTGTTAGAGTCTCTGCAGTTAATTTGCAAATAATGCTTTTCTGACACACTCAAATGAACACCATATTGGCGATGAACACTGTGTGCCATCAAACATTTAAAAGCAAAATATCAGTTTTTAGAGCTCGGCCTCTCATTTAAAGAGCTAAAGTAAACAAGCAGATGGTCTCTCAGTGTGTGCCTTATGGAGATTACAAAATCTTATGTTCATGAAACATAAAATGGTCGCTCACAGTTCCTTGATAAGAATAGCAAGGTGTGCTAATAAAATGCATGAGAAATATATATATGTAAAGGTGACTCTAGGATTTACAGAACAGCTGAGTGTGGAAACTGAATATCTTACCTAATAAAGTGTGTGTTTGAGGGGATCATGGAAACAGTTCAGAAAGATTTCAGTATCCCAGATGCTTAAAACAATACTTCATTAATCCTTAGGTCTTAATTTATGGGACTTAATAATCACAGTCTTAAAACAGTTATTCCTAATAATTGGTATTATCAGCCACTATACAACTAGTTTCAAGTTAATTAAAGAGAGCTTTGTCAGCTAATTAAATCTGAATGTCATTTTTGTAAAGATATAGCCTTGCTTTTCACCAGAACTATCACACATATTCAAGAGGAGTCACAGGGCTTAGTGCTACATACAGCATTAACAAAACAGCACCTTGAAGTATTAATCTACCAAAGGCAAGAATTGGGGGGGGGGGATTGCTGAGGTATAAAAATCTTAAATCATTGACGATCTTTAGATGCAAAGATTATGCCTTATGAAATGCAGCAATAAATTAACTTTTTTAAAGGTCTGAAACAAGCTATGGTGTATCTTTTTTGTATGATTTAAATAACTTTGTATGATTTAAATAAGAAGCTAGACAAATAAACCATTCCATCTCCCAGTCTGCTCCCAGTCTGGGTGGGATTCAATCACATACAAGAAAATTCAGGTTATGAGATCAAAGCCTATCTGGCACTCATGTGAAGCTCACCTGACTATCACCACAGAAATGTTGGGCTTTTTGCTGTCAGGCAAATGTACTGTAAAGTGTGGGATGATTGCTTATAGTGATGTCATATAGCATCACTGCTCAGAAACAAATCAAAACGAATGTTTAATAAACAGCTAATGTAATAAAACAACTCCACAAACTTTGTACAAAAAAATAGAAGGAATGCTCAATAGATTAGTTGTCTGGAAGCAACCTCCCCTAACCTGAAATCAGAGCCTCCCACTTTGAGCACTGGGAGCATTCAACTGTGTATAACAAGGGTTGATCGGTGTGGCATTTGCGCATTCCTTGTGATTATGTTTGTACAGGGGGATGGAAATGGTTAATGTAGATTGACCAATGAGAAAGCTCAGAGGCGGAGCCTACCTGGTTTTGAGGCTCAGCCCAGGGGTTTTACCATTGGGAGATAGAGGAGTCAGAGTCAGACTGAGCCAGTAAAACGAACATAGCGGTTGTGACAGCAAGAGTGAGAGACAGGGATAGAACGGAGAGAGGAGAGAGGAGAGTGTGACAGTGTGAAATAGTGCCACATCTAGTTAAGGGAGCGCATTTGAGAAACCTTTCTGAATATATTTAAAATGTGTTTGTTCTTCAATAAACTTTAAGCTTTTTTTTTGACTTTACAACCTGACTGAGACTCAGTATTTCACCAGAAGAAACCTGGTTGGTGGCAGCAGAAGAATAAAGCAGTGACGTACAGATCAATAGTCTGGGAAACGACTGGGGGCTCTGTACGAACGCCACAATCGGTGTGTAGAAAGTGTGTGTGTGTGTGTGTGTGTGTGTGTGTGTGTGTGTACACCCCCTGCCACATACCACTTTCTCGTGCGTGAGTTTCTTTTGGTGCAGATTTACACATTTGAATGAGAAAGGATGTCTGCTTCCTTCCATCCATGAACATGTTGTAGGCAGGGGCGCCAGCTCCAGATTAGCGAGCCCTTTTGGCCCCCTCTATTTTGGGGGTCAGGGTCGGCCCTCACCCGCAATGTTCCAAACACAAGGGGACTAAGTGTGGAGATGACCGTAGTGCAGCTCTAGTGGCAAGCTCCTTCTTCTCCTCTCCTGCTGCAGAGGGGATGGCGGTTTG